TCAGGGTCGGGATCGAACCCACGACCTCCTGTATACCAGGCGAGGTAGTTAACATCTCATAGCCACCGTGATGATGATGATGAGAGAGAGACAGCGCAAACTCCAAATATACAGCAGCAGGCGTCAGGGTCGGGATCGAACACACGACCTCCTGTATACCAGGCTAGGTAGTTAACATATCATAGCCACCGTGATGATGATGATGAGAGAGAGACACCGCAAACTCCAAATATACAGCAGCAGGTGTCAAGGTCGCGATCAAACCCACGACCTCCTGTGTTCTGGGCGAGGTAGTTAACATCTCCTAGCCACCGTGGCGCTTGCCGACTACTGCAGCCACGTGGTTGACTCAGACGCGTGGCTACTGAAGGTTGGTGCGAGGGTGCCGCGCAGTCCCTCCGCAACCTGATGGCTGAGCTCTCAGGCAATCGGTGAAGTCGGTGAATGTGTTTGTGCACAGTCGCTTAAAAACCAATAGCCACGTCTGGTCTTCATCCTCGGTGCACTGCGGTTCCTGGCAGCGCGACTTGAATGATCAGATTGTAAACTTTGTGGCTTGGCTCCCCAACACACCGGTGTTGCTGTACTCGTGACGAATTGGCACGTTGTGCTTAAGTGACACACTTTACTGATTGGCTGTGTCGGGTGGTGGCGGGTTTAACGACACATTTATATTTGTCTATGCGATCTAACCCAAAACAATAACCTATATCATTCATGGATGATTTTGGTCGCGAAAGAATCCTCCCACGTGTTAAACTGGGTGGCTTGAGTCTGCGTCTTCGCTCCGACCGAGTTGACATCGATTCGTCAAAGTCGCTCAAGCTTCGGTCTTTGGTGGGCAGACGACGATTATGATGGTGGTGGTGATTATGTGGAAGATGGTGATGGTGGTAATGATGGTGATGATGTTGGTCATGATGATGGTGAATATGATGGCTATGATGGTGATGATGATGATGATAAAGGTCATGATGATGATGATGGTGATATCGGGTGGTAACGATGATGATGATGGTGAAGGTGATGATGATAAAGGTCATGATGATAAAGGTCATGATGATGATGGTGATATCGGGTGGTAACGATGATGATGATGATGGTGAAGGTAATGATGATAAAGGTGATGATGATGATGGTGAAGGTGATGATGATGGTGATATCGGGTGGTAACGATGATGATGGTGATGATGATGGTGAAGGTGATGATGACGATAAAGGTGATGATGATGATGGTGATATCGGGTGGTAACGATGATGATGATGATGGTGAAGGTAATGATGATAAAGGTGATGATGATGATGGTGAAGGTGATGATGATGGTGATATCGGGTGGTAACGATGATGATGGTGATGATGATGGTGAAGGTGATGATGACGATAAAGGTGATGATGATGATGGTGATATCGGGTGGGCAGTCGTCGTAGTCCTCGTCGCGCTCGGTGATCCTCGTCGACTCACGGCCACCGTTGACTAAACCTCAACTAAAACCACGTGGTGGTGGGCGACTCTTGTCGCCACCGATTTCACGAAACGTAATTCACGCGCGTGGCCGGGGGAGCCTCCTCGTTTGTGGATTATCCTCGCGCCTCTGAGTCATCCTCTTTGTCGTCTCTTAGAGACAGAGCGAGAGAGATAGAGCGAGAAAGAGAGAGAGACAGAGCGAGAAAGAATTAGAGCGAGAAAGAGATAGAGCGAGAGAAAAAAACTTTGCTTTTTTTCTGGATTTTTATGTTGCGCGTAGTCACTTTAAGATGTTTCTTGTTCATGTTTTTGTTTGTTGCGGTTGCACCCGAGTCAAGAGCCGAATGGCTCACAGGGCTTTACCTAATAAATGAAACTGAAACTGAGAGAGAGAGAGAGTGAGCGCTGTACGTCAACGTTACAAATGAAGATGTTCCTAGTGGAACGCGAAAACCAGAGCTACCCACGAACTCTCGCATGCAGTCTCAGAAACGACGACTCCGTTTTTGTCTTTCTCTGCCAATGTACATTTCTCCACAATTGTTCACTTTACAGCGAGGTAGAAATCACAATTATAATCGTCGTAATGAAGGCGTAATTGTATTAACAACGATAATAATAACGACGACAACGACAACAACAAACGTAAATAACTTAATTGTTTTGCCACGCGAAAACACCGGCCAAAGCGCGTTCGTGTGCGCGAGTCTGTGTCTGTGTGCCTGTGTGTCTGTGTGTGAGTCTGTGTCTGTGTGTGAATCTGTGTCTGTGTGTGAGTCTGTGTCTGTGTGTGAGTCTGTGTCTGTGCGCGAGTCTGTGTCTGTGCGCGAGTCTGTGTCTGTGCGCGAGTCTGTGTCTGTGTGTGAGTCTGTGTCTGTGTGTGAGTCTGTGTGTGAGTCTGTGTCTGTGTGTGAGTCTGTGTCTGTGTGTGAGTCTGTGTCTGTGTGTGAGTCTGTGTCTGTGTGTGAGTCTGTGTCTGTGTGTGAGTCTGTGTGTGAGTCTGTGTCTGTGTGTGAGTCTGTGTCTGTGTGTGAGTCTGTGTCTGTGTGTGAGTCTGTGTCTGTGTGTGAGTCTGTGTCTGTGTGTGAGTCTGTGTCTGTGTGTGAGTCTGTGTGTGAGTCTGTGTCTGTGTGTGAGTCTGTGTCTGTGTGTGAGTCTGTGTCTGTGTGTGTCACGATCAGCACTCATCCCAACAACGTGTCAAGCTACAGGGAGGATCTGTGTGTGTGTATATACATGTCTGTACCAGAGTTCGATTTCCCGCTCACGGCCAACACCAGTGGTGACGATCTATCTGAACCGGTCCTGGGCCTCCTCTAGGTCGACACGGCCTCAAATGAGTACCCGATGTGATGCGTAAAAACATTGCCGCGAGAGAGACAAAGGCGGCCGGGCGTGGTGCTGGCCACCCACCCCCCGGCCTTCATAGGTGCTCGCTAACAGCACTTACCCCAACAGTCTGTTGCAGGCTATACGGGTGATCTTTGTCTTTGTCCCAGTGTAATGGCACAATGGTTTTGCCAGGATGGGTTCGATTCCCGGCAAGGGCGAACTAACGACGGCGGCGAACGATATCCAAACCTGTCTCTGTTTGAACACCACCTCCTCCTCCTGTGTTATTGCCCGAAAAGCTATCAAGCCTAGAGACGTGACTGCTGATATTTGCATCCTCACTGTTGTTCTCCGGTCTAACACCGGTGGGGAGACGAGGCCAGAGAGGAGGGAGCCTCTGCTGTAGGTCGATCAGTTTCAAGGGCAATCCGTGTACACGATTATCAAAGGACGCTTGTCCGCGTGTTTTACCACGAGCATATGATGTGTGTGGTTCGTGCAGACGCGTGATGCCTTGCAAAAGGTGCCTATTGAAAGTGTTTGGACATCTGAACACCTCCCGCATTATACAGCCTATTCTTTTTAACCCCTTGTTGATTGTCTTCGCAAGTAAGGCCGTGTCGGTGATCGGCAGTAACTATTTTTTGTTATTTTACCAGGTAAGGGCCCCCCAGCGAGCGCTGTAGCTCTATATTTCAGAAGCGACCCCAGCCGATCACAAATGACTGCTCAGCGAAGTGGCTTGTCATCGTCACGTGGTAATTCACAGCAGCCAAATACTCTGAACGCACGGTGATGTCGATTCTAAATGTAGAAGGGGGGGGGGGGGTGGGGAACCGGAGGACACGGAGAAAAATCCACGCGACCACGGGGAGAGAGACACCGCAAATTACCAAATATACAGCAGCAGCAGCAGCAGGCGCCAGGGTCGGGATCGAATCGACGACCTCCTGTATACCAGGCGAGGTAGCTAACATCTCCTCGCCACCGCGGTGCCCTGACGATAGTTGCGTCAATCTTCATCAGGCGAATGAAGAGGATGGAGGAGGTGGTGGATCGGTGTTGGATGTGGAGGAGCGGTTGTCTGGTCTGGAGTTAAATATCAGAGCGCACACACGGAACGATAGTGTGTCGGTGTGTGTGTGTGTTAGTGTATCTGTGTGTGTTAGTGTGTCTGTGTGTGTGTTAGTGTGTGTGTGTTAGTGTATCTGTGTGTGTTAGTGTGTCTGTGTGTGTGTTAGTGTGTGTGTGTTAGTTGTGTCTGTGTGTGTTAGTGTGTGTTGTGTGTTAGGTGTGTGTGTGTGTTAGTTGTGTCAAAGGCGGCCGGGCGTGGTGGTGGCCCCCCACCCCTACAGTCTGTTAAGGCTACACGGGGGGGGGAATATTTGTCTGTTTGTGTGCATATGTACATCACATGTCTGTGTGTCACGATGTCTTTGTATGCCGCTCTGTATCTCTGCCTGTCTGTCTGTCCGTAAACGTCATTGTTGTCCTCTCCATGTCACACACGTGGCGAGTTAGACGGTCAAATAGGCAGACAGGCAACAAGTTTGTCTGTCTCCCCACGTGTCTGTCTCAACGATTGTCTCACTACCTGCGTGTCTGCCTAATTGACCGATTAACCACCCGCGTATCTAATTTGACTGATTAACTACTCAAAGTTTCTGTCCACTTGACTCACTCCCCACGTGTCTGTCTGTCCACGTGAGGATCCAACTCCCCGCGTGTCTGTCTGTCAGTGTCCAACTCCCCGCGTGTCTGTCTGTCAGTGTCCAACTCCCCACGTATCTGTCTTGTCCACGTGAGGGTCCAACTCGTGCGCGTGTCTTTGTGACCCCTCCCCGCTCCACGATCTCGCGTGGCCGTGGCGCGCCGTCGTTTAAACCCCAAGCTCCTCTTTGTTCTTTAACCTCGTCGCTCAAAGTCAAATTACTCCAACCTCGTTTATTACAGCTGTCATGACAGTAGAGTCAATCTACGGTGCGAGTGGACTAGTGGCAGGGGAGTCAGCCTGCAGTACGAATCGACTAGTGGCCATGGGAGGTGATGATAGGGGAGTCAGCCTGCAGTGCGAGTGGACTAGTGGCCACGGGAGGTAATGACAGGGGAGTCAGCCTGCAGTGCGAGTGTACTAGTGGCCACGGGAGGTAATGACAGGGGAGTCAGCCTGCAGTGCGAGCGCACTAGTGGCCACGGGAGGTAATGACAGGGGAGTCAACCTGCAGTGCGAATCGACTAGTGGCCACGGGAGGTAATGACAGGGGAGTCAGCCTGCAGTGCGAATGGACTAGTGGCCACAGGAGGTAATGACAGGGGAGTCAGCTTGCAGTACGAGTGGACTGGTGGGTACGAGAATGATCGAGAATAGGAGCGTGGCCAGGTGACGGAAGAGGCAGTGGAGTCAGCTGGTGGAGCGAGCGGTCTAGAACCAGCGAGAAGGTTCTGGGAATGGGGGCGTGGCCTCGGACCGTATGTAAGGGGGAGATGCGCGGGATACTCGGGGCTGTTGCAGTGGGGGTCTCCGCCTGTCCGAGTGTCAGCACGTGGCTCCTTAATAAAGAAACCATCTCAAGACAAGTGCGTCGAAGTCGTCATTATTACAGCGACCCTCTCACCGAGATGAATCTTAACATCTTAACGCAGCTCAAGAAAATAAACACCCGCGTGCGTGTTCGTGTGTGGGAGCGCGCGCGTGTGTGTGTGTGCGTGTGTGTGTTATTCTACACGCGTGTTTTATACGTGTTCGTCGGAACTGGGGAGACAAAGACGGAGGGACGGGCATGGTTATTCTATCCACAGCACCGCCTCGTGCATTGTTCCAGGCTTAATAAGCCTTCGCTAACAGCACTTGCCCCTTGTTCAAGGCTACACGGGGCACATTTGTCTTGTGTTTCCGTGTGTGGCCTTCGGAGGAGTGGTGGTGCAGCAGTTAGCGCATTGGGCTACTAACCCGTCCGCCCGAGTTCGATGCCGCTCACGGTCAGCATCAGTGACGATTGTCTGAACCGGTGCTGGGCCTCCCCTAGGTCGACTCTGGGTACGGTGTGCAAACATCAGCAATGGGGAGACAACGGCGGCTGGGTGTGGTGCTGGCCATCCACCCCCTCGCGTGCCGTGCCAGCCTTCAAAGGTGCTCGCTAACAGCACTTGCCCCAACAGTCTGTTAAGGCTACACGGGGGACCTTTGTTACTCTTTGTTGCGTAGCAGCCAATCGCATTCTGCGCTCATGCCGCGACCATCCTGGGTTCGATTCCTGGCCACGGCTCCAACCGCCCTGGTCGCCACCGTCGGTGACAATGCGCATCAACCTCGCGTGTGCGTGTCCATCCGCAGGGTTAACTCAGCCTAAAACGATGACCCCGTGCCGCGGCGACGTGGTCACGCGAACATCGGAGTAAGAAAGACAAAGGCAGCCGGACGCGTGCGGGTCAGTCCACAAGCACCTCATCTCGCGTGGCATCCCAAGCGCAATCAGTGCTCGCTAATAGCACTCGCACCGCCAGTCAGAGCCTCTTGACGTGGGCGGCGGAATCTCTGAGAAAGGCTTCTGTTGTTGATGGAGGTGGAAATGTTTCAGTTGTGCGTCCCTTGAGTCTCTCTTCTCCACTCAACTCCCTCAAACGTCGCCATCCTCCTCATCCCCCATCACCGCAACCTTCCACCACCATCACGAACTTTCTCCTTCACCACCACCACCTCCTCCATCATCTTCCTCCTGATTCTGTACCTTCCTCCTCCACCACCACTGCCACCGCCATCCTCCTCGAGACTCCAATAGCGACCGCTCAGGTGTTCTTGCAGGTGAACAGCTCCTCCCTCTGCACGCACTGCTTGCACTCCACGTAGCAGCACCACCGCACCTGGCACTGGCAAGGCCGCTGCGTCACGCGGCTCTGGGTGTTGTGGCCCCGGCCGCAGCACAGCGACTCGCAGCTGCCCTCTCTGTGGCACGGCCTGCCCCCGGTGCCCGGCGAGAAGCGACTGGGCCGACAGAAGCTCGGCGAATCGTCCAGGTAGAACAGGAGGAGATCCATCTCCAGCGGTGACGACGACGACGATGCTGCTGCTGCTGCTGCTGCTGCTCCCGATGATGATGGTGATGACGGCGAGGATGGCGCTGGCGGCGGCGGCGGCCGCGCCGGTCCCCGCGGGAAGCCGCCGCCGTCGGCCGTGGCCCCGTTGGCGAGGCCCGTGACCCTCAGCGCCGAGTCGTAGGCCCTCTTGAGGAGGCGCCCCGACTCGCCGAAGGGAGCCAGCTGCCTCCAGCAGGTGCGCACGCTGCACGAGCCCGACACGCCGTGGCACTTGCACGTGGTGCGCACGCCGCTCCTCACCACCTTGGGGGGCACGGGAGGGGGGGAGGGGGGGGCAATGAACCAGTGATGATCGTGGTGGTAGAGGGCTGCCCAGTAGCGTAACTAGCGTGGGGTGCGGGGGGGGGGCAGGGGGTGCCTTGACCCCCCGCCTGCTGGCCAGAGCTACGAGTTGGGGCCCCCACCTGACCGATTGCCGCACCTCGCGTCACGTCCGTCCTGGCAAGCCGCGTTGGGGAGACGAAGGCGGCTGGGCGCGGGTGGTGCTGATCACCCGCCCACCCTCTCGTGCGCTGTTAGCGAAGTCGAGTCGGTTCCAAACCCGATCGGCGGGTCACCCGCGGCTTTCCGACCCGACGCACGATAGTGATAGTTGCGGTGGCGTTGATGATGAGGATACGGGTGAAGAAGTGATGATAATAGTTGGTGGTGGCGGTGAATATGGAACGATGGTGGTGTTGGTAGGGGTGGTGTTGGTGATGAATAGATGATGGTAGAAACCGTGGTGGTGGTGGTGGTGATGATGTTAGTCGAGTGGTTGGAGTGATGGTGACGACGGTGATTATGATGACAGTGATGATGACGATGATGAAGCCAAAGGGCTTTAATGTCGTGCCAACCACCCACCCTAACCCTCCACCCACCCACCCTAACCCTCCACCCACCCACCCTTACCCTCCACCCACCCACCCTAACCCTCCACCCACTCTAACCCTCCACCCACCCACCCACCATAACCCGCCAACCACCCACCCCAACCCTCCACCCACCCACCCTAACCCTCCACCCACTCTCACCTTCCACCCACCCTCCCCAACCCTCCCAACCATCCGCCCACCTTGAGCCCCACGTCCGAGTTGTGAGCGTCCACGCGCGCGCGCACGTCCATGCCGCCGCCGCGCCTCTGCTGCTCGAGGAAGGCGCGCGTGAACTTGAGGCCGAACTTGACGTTGTCGCCGCAGCCGCCCCACTGCCACGCCTGGCGGTTCTGCAGCTGCGGGGCCTCGTCGCAGGTGCAGCGCTCCAGGCGGCCCGCGCTGCACGCGCGCGACACCGAGTGGGCCAGGCCCGCCGCCGAGACGCCGAAGAGGAAGGCCGTCTCGCGGAACCCTGCGGCCGGGCAGGGCAGGGCAGGTGGAGAGGGGGTGGGGAGCAGTGGCGATTAGCACGGTTGGCTACGTACGGTGCGAAAGAAGTTGAACACACGTGCAGTGGGGTGGGTTGGGAGGAGGGGGCAAGGTGGAGCAGGGTTAGAGGTCATTGTGGAGCGAAGCAGAGGTCAGGAGTAAAGGTCATGGTACGGCAGAGGTCAGCAGTAGAGGTCATGGTAGAGCCGAGTCGAGGTGGAGGAGGGGTCAGGTCAGTGTGCAGCAGTGGTCATCGTGGAGCAGGGTTAAAGGTGAACCTATCAACAGACCCCCCCCCCCCCCCAGGCTCCTTATCCCCAAACCCATAAATTCCACCTTCTGCCACGGGCATCGGTTCCTAACCCCCGATCCCTTCTTTGTCTTCAGGACCCCCCTCCTTTTCCCCTCCGTGCCCCCCCCCGGACCCCGATCCACTTCTCCCATCGTCACCTCCTCTTGCCCCCCCCCCCCCCCACTGTATTGGAAGACCGCCACCCCAACCATCACCATGCCCACCATCAACCATCACCATCATCCATCACCATCATCCATCACCTCACCAGCCCCGTGTCGCCACCGTCATTGCCGACCATCGTCACACCCGCACCATCATCGATTCCACCATCACTCACGACCAACATCGCAATCACCCAGCACCACCACCATCACTCACCACCATCACCCACCACCATCACCCACCAACATCAACTCTCACGACAAACACCGCAATCACCCAGCACCACCACCATCACCCGCCACCATCACCCACCACCATCACCCACCAACATCAACCCACCACTATCAACTCTCACGACCAACACCGCAATCACCCAGAACCATCACCCACCACCATCACCCACCAACATCAACCCACCACCATCAACCCACCACCATCAACTCTCACGACCAACACCTCAATCACCCATCACCATGACCTAGCACCATCACCCACCACCATCACCCACCAACATAAACTCTCACGACAAACATTGCAATCACCCAGCACCACCACTCCGCGTTCATTCCGCCCTGCCCCCCCCCAACCCGGACGCACCCCGCTTCAGGATGTTGGCGCGGTGCGGTGCCTCCAGGCTGCAGTTCCACCGCTCGGCGCGGAACTGCGCCTGGCACTCGGCCGCGCCGAGGCCGCTGGCTTCCAGCAGCGCTGGCCCCAGGCCCGGGTCACGGCGGCACAGGCGGCGCTGCTTGCGCTGCAGCTTGAGGCCGTCGCACAGCTTGAGGTGCGAGCGGCTCCGTGCGGGATGCCGCGCGGAGCCGAGAGGCGGAGCGCCCACGTGGCTCCACTGCTGCCCCGAGTGGCTCCACTGCTGCCCCGAGTGGCTCCACGAGCTGCTCCACGAGGAGCCGGAGACGCCTCCTCCTCCACCAACGCCACCACCGGTCGAGTCCGGTCCGTCCCCTGCTCCTCCTCCTCCTCGGATCGCCAGGACCAGCAGAGGCTCTTTGGCTGTGAGCCTGGGGGGGGAAGTGGGGTGGGAGAGAGGGGGAGTGGGTGAGTGGGGTGGGAGAGTGAGTGGGATGGTGAGTGGGGTGGGAGAGTGAGTGAGTGAGTGGGAGGGTGAGACGGAGAGAGCATGAGTGAGTGGGTGAGTGAATGAGTGAGTGGGTGAGGTGTGAGTGACGGAGCATGAGTGAGTGGGTGAGTGAGTTGGTGAGTGAGTGGGGTGTGAGTGACGGAGCATGAGTGAGTGGGTGAGTGTGGATTGCGATGGAGGTGGCAAGTGGTGGTGGTGCACCTGCCAAGTCATCCGTCAACCCATAACCCCCTGACGATGTCACGTGTTCTCCTGTCACCTACCATTCCACACCTAAAAATTATAGCTTCAGAGAAGTGCACCTAGCCTGGCACAAGCGCTGTGGCGACGCCACCGTCACTTAGTGGGGGGTGTCGTCTCGTAGTGGTGGTGGTGTTGATGATGGAGGGGAATATTAAAGTTGTTCTCGTCGTTGTTGTTGTCTTTGTTGTTGATCCCCGGGCTCGCGCTGCCGATCCCTCGTCTCGTGGCCCACCCGGCACGAGGTCGCGCATCCTCATCACCACAACCCTCACCTCATCACCAGACTCCTCACCTCGTCACGACACCCCTCACATCATCACAACAACCCTCACCTCATCATCTCACCCCTTACCTCCCCACACATCCCTCCATCACCTCTCACATCTTGTTGCCCTTCCCCCATACCTCCGATTATCACGGCTGGCTACCTACGGCGCGAAAAGGCGTTCAAACATTAAAACATACAAACATATAAAAATACATACATACAAACATATAAACATACATACATTCAAACATACATACAAACATACAAACAAGCCTTCTCACCCATCCCTCACCCCCGAACTCCCAATGACCCAGAACGCGGGTGCCAGACCCCCCCCCCACATCCTCCCATCGCTCCTCTCGCGTCAAATCCGACCCCGTGTCAATGTCAAGGTCGCACTCCCCCCCCCCCCCCCCCCCCCCCATGGACTCGCCTCTGCCTACTTCACCCTCTCACGCCTCCCCTCTCCGGGACCGATCAGCAAGATCCACAGCCGCCCCCGGTGGTACGGCGAATCGGAGCGACCGCCCCGGGCCCCACATTTGGGGGGGTGGAGTCTCCCCAGCGTTATGCCACCACACTTGTATATAATTATATATTTATAGACTTCGCCTCCCGTGGAGTGTGACGCTAAAGCCGATGGATAGCGGCCCGCGACGTCATAGATGGTGACGACGACGAGCAGAGCACGTGCTCGCTCGGTCGCTGGTGTCGGTGAGGGATGGCTCCCGTGTGGCTGGCGTGACTGGCGTAGCGCTGTGACCTTTACCACGGTGACAATGATCGCCTCCACAGTGCGGTGGCGGTGGCGGTGGTGGTTGGTTGGTGGTTGGTTGGTGGCAGGGTTGATGCAGATCCCATTAAAATTGATGATGATTATGGACACGCTGATGGATATGTCGTCGCAGATATTATCGACGATGATGATGATGATGCAGCTAGAATGATGATGATATGCTATCGATGATGACATTCGTGACATCTGACGATACTGAACGATGCTGATACAGACGATGTATAATGTGAGGATGGTGACGATCATGATGTAGATTAACGCATGGTGATGTAGATGGAATGATGATGATGCTTATGATGATGACGATGCCGATATCGATCGCGCGCGTTATGCGAGGATGGTGGTGATGATGACCAATCTGACAGCTGGCATTTGTGACAATCATACTCATCATCATCATCCCGCTGATGTAGACACAAGTCCGGCTCTGTTAGTGTGACTGTGTTTAAAATACGGGGGGGTCAAACAAAACTCAGGTGTGGTGGTGCTGGTGGTGGTGATGGTGGAGGGACACACGACACAGCCTTCAAACGCACGTGGGACGCGCAGCAGAGAGGCGCCACGGGGCGTTCTGCGCACGCGACACACGAACACCGCGGCTACGAATTGAATCCTCGTCCACGGGGGTTCGGCAGCAACTGTGGCAGCAACACCACGACTCGACTCCCCAGCAGGAGATTGGATGGCAATTCGCTTTTTTGTTTAGATGATACGCCACCGAATTAGCTGTACGTGTTTTTTTTAATAAATCTCATGCGACGAGTTGTTGTTCTCGTTGTTGTTGTGCTGGTATCAATTTGCTTTCATTGCTGTTGTACTTCATTGTTATCGGTGTGTATCCCGGGTCTCTCTTGATTCCTCCCAGCTGGTTAAACAACGCGAATTTTAAACCTGAAACTGCGTCGTTAATACCCTCCACCACCCCACGCAGCCAAACATATTAATAACCGACTGCGAAAAACATCGCGGAGCTGACGATAAGAACTTAGAAGGGGAGAGGCGGTGATGGTGGTGGTGGTGATGATGGTGGTGGTGTTGGTGGAGATGGTGGTGATGGTGGTGGTGATGGTGGTGATGGTGGTGATGGTGGTGATGGTGGTGGTGGTGATGGTGGTGGTGATGGTGGGGTGTCGGTTAAACTTTCAACATGAAAATGCGCAGTCCACCGCATCAGTTTCAGCAGCTGCAGTCAACGTGGCAACGAACTAAACTTTATATTTATTTTACCAGGTAAGGCCCCACTGAGCTATGTAGCGCTTTTTCAGAAGCGACCTGGCCATCACAAATGATAGCTCAACGAAGTGACATATCGTGTGGAATTTTATAGTAGCCAAAAAAATTCAACTCGCCTTTCTGAATGCGGAGGGAAAAACCAGAGGACCCGGAGAAAAATTCACGCGAACACGGGAAGAGAGAGAGACAGAGACACGAAAACTCCAAATAAACATAAGTCAAGGTCGGGCTCGAACCCACGAGCTCCTGCATACCAGGCGAGGTAGTTAACATCTCCGAGCCACGGTGATGATGATGATGAGAGAAAAAGAGAGACAGGCAAACTCAAAATGAACAGAAGTCAGGGTCGAGCTCGAACCCACGACCTCCTGCATACCAGGCGAGGTAGTTAACATCTCCTAGCCACCGTGATGATGATGATGAGAGAAAGAGAGAGACACGCAAACTCCAAATTAACAGAAGTCAGGGTCGAGCTCGAACCCACGACCTCCTGCATACCAGGCGAGGTAGTTAACATCTCCTAGCCACCGTGGCGCCCCACACGTACGCGGCACACACAGTTAGTCCAGTACGCTCCTCTCTCTCTCCACTGTTACGAGTTGATGCCACGGGTCCAGCCGCTCTCTCCTCCTTACCCGAAGTAAGCCGCCGCGGATCCGAGCGCGGCGCAGGCGGCCGCGAATCGGAGCAGAATCGGGGCAGGAGACGCGGCTCGAGCAGTGTCACCCCTCATGGTCCCAGAGGCGAGGGTGACGGAGCGCGCATCTCGCAGAGTGTGGGGGCAAGAAGGGGACTCGTCGCGCCGTGCTCCGTCGTGCCTCCCCACACAACACAGACGCGCGCGGGCACACACCCACTCACAACCTCTATATATGCAAACATACACACAGGCACATACAGGCACACGCGCGCGCATACACGCATCCCTCCTCCACCCCCCACAATTGGCTCTCTCTCTCTCTCTCGGCGCTCAATGATCGAGGCGTGACCGATCACCACTCCCCTTTGCTCCCTCCCTCCCCTCCTCCTCCCTCCCCTCCTCCGATCTGCGCTCCCGCGTGGCTCCTGCCACGCGAGTTTCTCGTGCAGCGGTTGCCGCGATTTGTGGCGAAGTGCGGGCAAATGAAACCTCGTGGCTTTTACACCACGCCGGTCAGTACGGTCACAAAGTGTGTGTGTGTCTTTCTCTCTCTCACGCGTGAGAGTAGGAACCAGGCGCAACCCCTGCTTAGCTCGTCCGATATCCGACCGGATCCGAGCGCGTTCACAGCCTCTCGACACGATGGTGCCGAACTCAAAGCCTCGCACCTCCGATTAGCACGTTTGGCGATGTACGGTGCGAAAGAAGTGCAGCATACGAACTTGCGTGGCTCATGTAATCTAGGCTCGAAGACGCTGTTAGCGAGCACCTGTTAAAGGGCCGTGGTGGGCACGGTGGCGGACAGCGACGGACTGCAACCGCCTTTGTCTCTCTCCCTGTGCTGATGAGGCTGATGATGTTGAGCGCAACGGGTGTGATCTAGTCGTGGATACTATGTAGATTTGAAGCTTTCGTGACTGCAAGGATTCATATTCTTAGGTTTTTTCGGTAAAGTCACGTAGGTAAAAAATAAAAAATAAAATTAGTAAAATAAAATAAAAATAAAAATCACGACGTTTCAATTTTAATTTTTACCTACGTGACTTTACCGAAAAAACTAAGAATATGTATACTATGTAGTTGGTTTTGAGGGGGGGGGGCTGAGCAGACCTCGAGGGCGGGGACGTATAGGTCGCGTCTGGATGATAGTTTATCCACCGGTGGTACACTGAACATGATGAGTCCATCTGGTTCGGCGTGCGTGCTGCATGCATGTACGCTGAACTTCTTGCACACCGTACGTAGCCAACGTGCGCGTGTCTGTTAAAGGCTACATGGGGGATCTTTGCCTTCCTGCACATGTACACACAACCGGGAGTACACGTGGGCGCACACCTCTATATACAGCGTCGCATACAAACCGTGTTTTGTCCAGTCACTGCTGGACGAGGGCTATTTGACCATATTCTTAGGTTTTTTCGGTAAAGTCACGTAGGTAAAAAAATAAAATTCATAAAAGTAAAATAAAAATAAATTATTTTATTTTACTTTTATTAATTTAAATTGTTTACCTACGTGACTTTACCGAAAAAATCTAAGAATATGAATCCTTGCAGTCACGAAAGCTTCAAATCTAGAATTATTTGACCATACTTCCCCACGCCGGTCAGTGCGGGTCGCTGATGGTGGGCAGGCGGGCGAGGAGCGCAGAACAACATTGGGATTTGCTGCACTACCCTCGACAGCCCGCAAGTGCCTCTTGCACCTGTGCATTGGCCACGGTTGGTGGTGGTCACCCATCCAAGAGCTATCCAGGCTCAATACCTGCTTAGCTTGCGAGAGCAATTAAGATAACGATGTGGAAGAAGAGGACTGATGATGACGGTGGGGGCATCGCTTCTCATCGCACATGCCTCGATCTCCTCCCACCGCATCCACAAAGACAAAGATCCCCCAGATAGCCTTCACCAGACTGTTTGGGGTAAGTTGCCGTTTGCGAGGCACCCACCCGCTCACGAGCCATGACGAGCACGCACTGCGTTATCGCCCCCTACTGTTCGCGTGATGATGCTGCTGCTGCTGATGATGGTTGTGACGGTAACGGGGCAGTTGTGGAGAGGGTCGAGAAGTGGTCCGAACTTTGGCAGTGTGCTGATGACCAGCTTCGGTCTGGCAGCCGAGGTCTCGCTCCGAATCAGTCGAGCGGCATTGTCTTTCCAAAGCTCCGGGTCTTCCCGGCCACAGTCATGCCCTTCTGTATGCTTGCCAAACGTGGAGCCCTCTAAATGAATGTCTGCGCCGATTTGAAATATTCAGGCTAGCCTGGTTTTAGCCAGACTGGATTGTGTGAAGAGTTCACAGATCCTTGAAAAATCTGGACACATTTCGATTTAAAGCTTTCGTGACTGCAGGGATTCATCTTCTTGGTTCTTTCGGTAAAGTCACGTAGAAGGGAAGTAATAAAATAATAAAAATAAAACATATTAAAATAATTCTCACGATGTTTCGGCCACAACGCAAGCAGCCGTCCTCAGGTGAAAACCAGGTCTGTCAAGGCGACAGCGTCTGAATGAAATAGCACCATGCTTGGAGCATATATTTAAGCTGGGTTGGAAGGGGGGGAAAGGGCGCCTTGACAAAAGAATTTGCATATCAAGAGGAATTTAGCATATTTGTGGGAAATATCAGGAAATAATTGGCCTAAACTGTTTCACTCTCTATTTCAATAAAAACTGCAGATCTATATTATATATCTGATAAATGTACTATTAATGGAAAACATCACCCGTAATCTGTTCATGATTATTAATGAAGGGGGCTGTTCGATGTGGAGTGACGTCACTTGTGCATGATAATTAGTGAGGGGGGGAGTGCTCCATATTGATTGACGTCACCCGCTCATGATTATTAATGAGGGGTGGGCGGAGTGTCCATTTGGAAGACGTCACCTGCTCATGAATATTAATGAGGCGGGCTCGTCGATGTGGAGTGACGTCATGAGCATTAAGGACAGACATTCCTGGGCGATTATAGTAGGTATATTGGCGAATATCAGGAGAAATTGCGAAAGTTTTTGGACTGAAAAAAATGGCATACTAACCAGTCTTTTTTTTGTAAAATTGACCTAAAAAATGTCACTATATATTTTTATAAAAACTGCAGATCTTTATTGTATATCTGCTAAATGTACTATTAATGGGAGAATATCAGGAAATATTGCGAAAAATTTGGGACTGAAAAAAGTGGCATACTAACCACTGTCTTTTTTTAGTAAAATTGGCCTAAAATTTTTCACTCTATATTTCAATAAAACTGCAGATCTATATTATATATCTGATAAATGTACTATAAATGGGAGAATATCAGGAAATATTGCAAAAAATTCGGGACCGAAAAAATGGCATACTAACCGTTGTCGTTTTTTAGCAAAACTAGCCTAAACTTTTTCACTCTATATTTCAATAAAAACTGCAGATCTATATTATATATCTGATAAATGTACTATTAATGGTAAAATATCACCCGTAACCTGTTCATGATCATTAATGAGGGGGGCTGGTCGACGTGGAGTGACGTCACGAGCGTTGCACACAGACGTTCTTGGCTCATGATAGTCGGTAATAATAATGGGGGGGGGGGGGTTGTCCATTTGGAGGACGTCACCTGCTCATGATTATTAATGAGGGGGGCTGTTCAATGTGGAGTGACGTCACTTGCGCATGATAATTAGTGAGGGTGGGGGGAGTGCTCCATATTTATTGACGTCACCCGCTCATGATTATTAATGAGGAGGGGTGGGGGGTGTCCATTTGGAGGACGTCACCTGCTCATGAATATTAATGAGGGAGGCTCGTTGATGTGGAGTGACGTCATGAGCATTCAGGACAGACATTCCTGGGTAATTATAGTAGCTATATTGGCGAATATCAGGAGAAATTGCGAAAGTTTTTGGACTGAAAAAATGGCATACTAACCACTGTCTTTTTTTTGTAAAATTGGCCTAAAAAATTTCACTATATATTTTAATAAAAACTGCAGATCTTTATTGTATATCTGCTAAATGTACTATTAATGGGAAAATATCAGGAAATATTGCGAACAATTTGGGACTGAAAAAATGGCATACATTTCACTGTCGTTTTTGAGTAAAATTGGCCTAAACTTTTTCACTATATTTTTCAATAAAAACTGCAGATCTATATTGTATATCTGCTAAATGTACTATTAATGGGAGAATATCAGGAAATGTTGATCAAATTTTGGGACTGAAAAAATGGCATACTAACCACTGTCGTTTTTGAGCAAAATTGGCCTAAACTGTTTCACTCTATATTTCAATAAAAACTGCAGATCTATGTTATATATCTGATTAATGTACTATTAATGGGAAAATATCACCCGTAACCTGTTCATGATTATTAATGAGGGGGGCTGGTCGACGTGGAGTGACGTCACGAGCGTTGCACACAGACATTTTTGGTTCATTATAGTAGGGGGGGGTGTCCATTTGGAGGACGTCACCTGCGCATGATAATTATTGTATATCTGCTAAATGTACTATTAATGGGAGAATATCAGGAAATATTGCGAACAATTTGGGACTGAAAAACATAGCATACTAACCAGTCTTTTTTTTAGTAAAATTGGCCTAAATTTTTTCACCATATATTTTAATAAAAACTGCAGATCTTTATTGTATATCTGCTAAATGTACTATTAATGGGAAAATATCAGGAAATATTGCGAACAATTTGGGACTGAAAAAATGGCATACATTTCACTGTCGTTTTTGAGTAAAATTGGCCTAAACTTTTTCACTCTATATTTCAATAAAAACTGCAGATCTATATTGTATATCTGATAAATGTACTATTAATGGAAAATATCACCCGTAACCTGTTCATCATTATTAATGAGGGGGGCTGTTCGATGTAGAGTGACGTCACTTGCGCATGATAATTAGTGAGGGGGGGGAGAGTGCTCCATATTGATTGACGTCACCCGCTCATGATTATTAATGAGGAGGGGTGGGGGTGTCCATTTGGAGGACGTCACCTGCTCATGAATATTCATGAGGGGTGCTCGTCGATGTGGAGTGACGTCATGAGCATTCAGGACAGACATTCCTGGGTAATTATAGTAGCTATATTGGC